GCTCTTGAGAACAACAGCTGCTGGATCGTGGAGAACCGGTCCCCCGCTGACACACATTTTTCACCACTCGAGCTTGTTTGAGCTCAGATGTGAATATCTTACTGCTCGAAGATCCATCGAAGGAGCCCAGAAAATCAGCCAGCCAATCAGTCACTTAAAGGCAGACAGACAGGCACACAAAACCAAGGTTGTCAGATCAGTTACATCCAGCGAATCTGTCATTCTAGCACCAGCGTCCGCATTCTGTTCTAGAGCGATGCTTTTGTGTAGTCTCCTCCTACTTCGATTACGGATTTGAAGTAGGCGACTGAGCCGGCCTTGATTCATATTCCGATGAAAGCGAATTAAATCTAGGAAACCCGCTCGAAACAACCGGTTACCGGTCGATGCATATGCAGGAATACGCGGATACTAAGAGTCGCTGCACGTCGTCATCCTCAGCTCCGGGGAGTTTACCCTAACGAGGCAGTTTCATCGATTCAGTCGGACATGATTTCCATTTGAAGCGAATAGTGGACACGGAGTGTTTTCTCCTGCTACGAGTGGCACGCTGGAAAACGAAGGTAAGCATTCCGAGTTCACTATTCTCTGTCTCGGTTCGCCCCCCGTACAGACTCCAGAGTGCGTCTGAGACTGAATGACATCTCACTCAAATGGGATGTTTTCGGTGCGTGGCGGCATCTGTCGCTAGAGGGACGTGAACGCAGGGGATCCGAGCGACGGGAACATTCCGTCAAAGCACGTACCACCACGCGCGGAGTTTGAGTTCTGACCTGCATAAGAAGACCACAGCAAGGCTGCATCTCGGCCTGCTCGAATTATACATTTGCGAGTAACCCGAGATATGAGGATCGCGTTGAAGGGGGAAAAGTCACGAGCAAAAGCCAGAGGAACGAGTCGCCAGGCTCTTCGAGACTCCCCAGCGACGCCGTCGTCGAATTATACCCGAGGAGTTCGTGGAGTTAACGGAGCTTCGGAGATATTCAATGACCTCGGCTGAGGGCGACGGATTTATGATTCAGATATGACGCCATCAGGATATACACGTACAAAATTATGCAGCAGGGCAGGCCGGAAGCTAGGCAACCATATCAGTGCTCAGGTCACTCTGAGGTTCGAGAAAAATTGCAAAATCGGTATCGTGAGAGGAATTTATGAATCCCAGAGGGAGCGGACGAATACCGGTGAAGTAACTCTTTTTCTGGCGCGGATTGGAACATGCAAAGGGAGTCATTGTCAAAATCGCGTGGAACGATTAGCTGTCACGGATATAATAGGTCCTCCACGTGACTGCAATCATTTTGAGAAGCGTTTTGTTTACCCAGATGAGTGGTTCTCCTCATGCGCATCAGCTTGCAGGCTGCGCCGTTCGGTGTTTGATGTATCCAATGGTCCTTCACGAATAACAGACTGATGAGCACGCTCACTAACTGCCCAAAACACACGCAGAATACCACAGGTTGCTTTCTATACAGACGAAAGCGAGCCCCATCCACGTCTCCACTCGATTCAGGCAACCCCAGGGACCGAGTGCGCCACTGAATATCGAAGAATGATCCACGGCCCCGTCTTGCCGGGTGGTTGCCAGTGATTTCACGGGCGTGAATGCCTTCCTCGGCTTCGGAATTGTCTCCTTCAGCCTCCTCTCTTCGCCGAAGAGAAGAAGGATCCTGAGCAGCTGAATCAAAATACGGGCCATGGACTTGCACGACCCGCGCGCCACCTCCGGCGCTCGTTGAAGGTTCGGATTTCGCGCGGATTGGCATCGACAGTCGACAGAGGGCGCCACGCTTTTTCTGGCTGGAAGTTGACCGTTTTCTTCCCCGCACTGTAAAGTCTTCAGGGATTCTGGGCCGTCGACCGGCGCACTCCAGACTCGAATTCATATGCGTGAAGAGCTTACAGAAAAGAGATGCTTTCGCAAGGACGTAAATCCATAATACTCTCTGCGGAACTGTAGGCGAGTTGCTACTCTGCGTCGGGAAACGAGCTTCATTCCATAACGATCAAGCGGCATTCCCGAAGGGGTAGTCGATCCTGAACTCCCACAAGTAAATCGAGACCCGTGCGAGAGACATTCCTAGCTGCAACTATACCAAGGCTACTTATCCGTCCCGAGATAAGCATTATGAATACACATACATCATGTACATAAGGGTCACGGCCGTATCATGAATCACGGAAGAGTGTAAAACTGGGCTCGTTCCTGTACGAGATAATACGGCGCAGCGTCAGAGACGTAAAGCTTCCGCCGCCGGTTGTGATCCGTGCGTGGATGACGTCTCGGGACACGGTCGAATGAGGTCACCGAAGTCATGTGTCGGAAACGACGTTGAGACGGAACAACGGAGTACTCCACCTACACCGAATCATCAAATATCTCATGACACTATTGCTCAGCTGTCTCAGCCAGTGAAGGTCACGTCGAGATAATCTCGGAATGCCGCATCCGCCCGGGACGCCCGACAGTGTTTCAGAGAGTTTATCTCGTTATCCTGGAGATGGTCCGCGCTCCTATGGCTGACCCAGGAACAGAGTAAAGCATGCTCCGTCTCGAATCCTTGTCCGAAGCATCGGAACTTTGGCTCTGTACAGTGTCCGGAAGGTGTAAGCCTGCTCGGAGCTTGGCTCCTATATTCTGCACATGTATCCAACTCTGCAGGCCGATTTTGCGCGGTAGGCACCTGGCGCGGCGTTCGACTCGGATTCCCAAAGTTCCCTCGCCAATGTCTCGGTGTGCCTCCCTCGGAAAATTCCTTTCGCGGCTCTGCAGCTGCTTGCCAGAGCTTTTAACGAAGACTCGGTTTCAAGCTCAAGCCTCGCCGACTCAGTACTCAGTCAGCCAGCCAGTTAGCGAGCCAGCCAGTCAATCAGTCAGTCAGTCAGTCAGTCGGTGATACTTGACGTGAATGACGGGCTCCGGCCCCGGTCCGCCTTCTTCTGTCAATTACTCAAATATTTATCAAAGGATTCCCTCTCATGTTGAGTCTTTGCGCGGGCAATTCTCGCAGAGGCGTCTGAGCCGGCGAGGGACGGACGAACGCGCTCATGTTCCGATTTGATCACAGCTTGACAAGTCTCCGGGCTATGTTGGAATACGGCGAAAATTTCCGAATGTGTCAAACAAGATGTATCCACCGACTCGGCGGAGGAATTACAGAATCTCATCGGGAGCTGATGAATTATGCGCCTCGGATGCGGCGAAGACGAGCTCGGGTCCAATTAGGAAGAGAAAATTCATCGGAAGACGAGAGGAATCCCGCTGCTCTCATCTTCTACGGCCTCTGGGACGAGCTCCGCTGGATAGAACTGCCGGGACAAGAGCAGTGACTCGCGCCTCATCAAAATTTCGGGATAACAAACAGAACACAGCCCGGAGGACACAGACATTCAGCAAGTGCTGCGCATTCCGAATTCCTGGGCAAAATTCCCGGAATATTAAGTTCTGCTTGGACAAGAATTCAGGACAATCGCGGCGAAGCTCCTCATTGACTGGGGCTGGAGCGATAGTCCGCCTTCTTGCCTATGCAGATCGGGGGCCTACCAGCCCCACGCATTCGGAAATCTTCGCTTCTCTTCGGGCACTTCTTCGTCTACGAGATTGTCACGTCGGCGTCGGGGCGCTCTGGAACCCTATTCGCTATCGGTCGCTCGAGCCTTGGAACGTGCGAGTAATCAAAACTTAATCAACGCCGTTCATGTCAACGGTCGTCGGAGCCAACAGACACCAGACACTCCCTGCTCGGGGGCGGAGGAGCTTACTCCCACAACTCACATCGCGCCGACCGTAGGATGGGCTGGAACTCTCCCCGCCGACACTGTCGCCTATGTTTTTGTTTGGGACTTCGGAAAAATTCGATATACGGAGCAACAAGGCCAAGCACCGAAGTGTAACCTCGAGGGTCTTCAAATTCCGGAGAAGCATCTTTGCGACCCACGACGGATGCAAAAGTCGACGGCAACTGAGAATATCATCGGTGTGATGCAGCCCCAGAGCGAGCCGTACTGGCTTTCGATTCACGTGCCGGGGTCCTCTCTGATGAAATCCTGGGGTCGAGGCGGACTCGCAGTTCTATACCGCGAGTTTTTTGAATAACGGATGAGCTCGCGATCGTCTCCAGGTGTACTTGCTCACGGAGACGGGGATCTCCACAGCGAATGACACCTTGCTCCGATACGTAAGAGCTTAGCGACAGATTGCAGCACTCTGAATTCTCTGATCAGATCAGAGCTCTCGGCACTCAGAGCTCGGAGGAATATTTTCTCTTCGAAACAGAGCGCGGAGAGTGCAGGGCACGGCATGTTGAAAGTTGTTGCACTAGTATGTCTTCGCTTAATAACTCCTCATCCCATACCTTCGCCGTGGGACGGAACGCTACACCTGGGAATAGTAGAACACCTTCTAGAAGACCGAGCGAGCGAGGGTGCTGCCAAACGAACGAGCCTGCGAGCGTCCGACCGGCATTACCGCAGGGCATCAGAGCATTCATCCCGCTCCCTCAAGAGGCATTGGAACTTGTTTCACCTGGGGCTACGGACAACAGCACCGTACCATCAGCACTGTCTACAATAGCGTCGACAGCGGCGAAGGATCACCAGGAGGAGATTGTCCTTCCTCCATCCTATACTAGGACCCTCTACTCCGTGTTGGGTCGCACTAAAAGCCCGCGAGCAGGGAGAAGTGTTCGGCAATATTTTTTGTATCTCGAAGCTCAATTAGATTCCCAGAGCGACTCAAGAGCTCCAATGTTACCGTTACCATTCAGCATTCGGAACGTGTTCTCCTCGAAGCCTAAGCGCCCGTCTCTCTCCTTTCTCCGTATTCATCATTCATCATCATCGAATCACGCTGGATTCCGACCGCATTCCAACATCGACCGCCGGCATCCCCGGGAGCATTTCTGATGCTGTTTCCAAGCTAGGGGACATCCCGTTGGGCCAACTTCCCGGATTCTAGCGGAATTTCGAACAGTAGCCTGAAAAAATTGACGATCACTTACAATTGCTTCTGGCACAACACACAGATCCAATGAGTAGATGAGGACTCGACACCGTTCTCGTACAGTCTACAGTCCTTGCAGACTTTCTTCCGACAGATTGGGCATTGGGCTCCTCGATTCAAAACTCGGCCGAGCGATGATAGACAGCGAGCACATGTTCGTTCGGGATCCAGACCTGGTCTGAGAGCTCCCCTCTTACGAAGCCTCTGCAGCTCCGCTTTGAGGTGGCTGAAATAGATGAACATAGAACCGACTTAGAATGGATGGAAGGCTGTCCCCTAATGATTCTTGGAAGAATAAGGCATGGGAGGGACCTTCAAATGAGATTCCAGTATATGAATCCGACTGGACGCATTAATTGGAGGACGTCTCGTCCGGTTTGATCCCCGAAACACGAAATCTACCCCGCGGATCGCATTTCTGGCGGCCGTCCTGACGTGCCCAGATGATGTGAATATCTGATGGAATTCCGGATAACTGGGGTCATCACTGTCATTGCACGAGCAGAGAATTCGGCCGAGACCGAGGAATATACGAGAGCTCGACGGGTATCCGGCTTGTTCTCGATATTGGCTGGCTCAATCTGTAATCCCGTTATTACACCATGGCTCCTTGGTCGAGCTAGCTGCGTACCCGAAAACTGCGCGGTTGATCGAAGAAACGTCGATCGCACTGACTGAATTTTATCCCCGTTCCCGAAAGGATGCTCTCCGCCTTTTGACCGAGGATCGAGGAAATCAGCACGCCTGTATGCATAATGACCGAGTGATGATCGGATTGCGGACAGGTCACACAAGGCTGCAGCTGGGAAGCTCCTTATTCCGAAAGCAGCTCCAAAGACTGCGCACACAAAGGGTGCGGAAAACTAGTCAATGTACGTGAATCAGGAGGTCTCTACATATGACTTTTGTCCTTTGCTGTCGACAGTCAGGGTAACCGAGGTATCCTAGCAGCAAACGAGTGCCGCCGGAGCACTCATTAAAGTTCCCTGGTGGGATTCGCTGAAGTACATAAACAATCATTCGGGAGCACCCCGGGGATCTAATCGAGAGATTGAGAGCGAGTATCTGATACAGATGTTACGAGAGCGCAAGCAGGAGCGAGTTTCGATCTCTTCCGGTGCGGCGGTGGAAATTTGGGAGCAACGGGTAGAATATTAGGCTCGACACCACTTCACAACTCTGAGGGGCCGGCGGAGAAACTAACCGACGCCGACGGAGCAACAGGCCGACGAATCGATTTATGAATCGATCCTCTAACCGCCCGACTATTTGTCCGTCGCGCGTGAGTAACTATCGTTGTTTGCACTAATTTCGTAACATATTGGATTTGCATCGGACCATTGTCATGCACATATCGTCGAGTCGTAGAGCAAACGGGGCAATGTAGTGATGACGATTCCCTGATTATCGACTTTGCACAGATCTCGCTATAGTCAAGTGCGCAAGGATCCGGGACGCTGGGAGAGTTGCGATGGGATTTCGTCGGAAGGCACGATCGCGACTCGCATGCACAGCATGCTTTCGAGTTCGATGCAAACTGCAGGTAAGCAAAGCGCAAGGTCGTCGACATCTGTAGTGAGACTTCAGAGCCTATTTGAGTTTTTCAAAGTTTCCGTCGAAACGTCCCTCGTGTATAGCCCGTAGTCAAGCTGAGCTTTGAGCATGACGCAATTCCGGGGTGAGCTTTGGGGATTGCCTCGGTAGTTGTCCTCTCTGTCGAAAGCCGGATTTGAGTGGAAAGCTGCGCGAACGCGGGGTTTCGGGCGAGCGCCGACGTTGCCAAAGCAGTAAATTCAATCCGACGCATCAAGCTCATTGGGCTTACAAGGACAACTAAGAGCGATGGCGGAGCATCCTTCAACGCCAACACTGCATCGGTCGCTGCGTGAGGGTCCCATCCGACCCAATGAGTCGGTCACACGAAGGACTACAGCTAGTGAATCGAGAGTCACCCTCACGCTCGGAATAAACGACATCAGAGAACTCGCGTTATCAGCACGATTCCAAAGCCTTGCCACATCCAGCGAGGCGCACATCTCCTGCCGGACTCCTCGGAGGTGGTCATTCTCTCAAAAACGCTTGACAATTCAAGCTCAATGATTTGTGTGAGAGAATCAAGAGACAGTTCCACAGTCTGTTATAGTCTGCGTGGGCGAGGTCATTGTCCGGACGCGGGCGGGATGAGCGGTATCCGTAGTATTTGCATCTTGATCCGTTACATATCAGCGCGAAGCATGTATCGCCTGAGACAAATGTGTTGTAACCAAAGACAAGTGAGTCGACAATTAGTAATGCACGAAAATTCAATCAGAAGGCGGGAATGGGGCGAGACGGGAGTCCTCATAATTCCACAAGCACATGCGGTAAATGGACGAGCATTCGGCTCCCATGGAATTTGGCTGAAGGTGTTCGTCTGGCATTCTTCGCTCACTACCTCCGGCCGCGGCAGGTGACTTCAATGATCCCTCGCGCATCGATAAGAACGGAGGCTCCGCAGCGGACGGGGGAGAGGACAAGACCTCCGAGAAACGCTCGTCTTCCGCGGATCTTCTTTTTCCGGAAATTGTTGGCCGTCCGATGAACATCCTTCAGAAAGCCTTCTCCGACGTCTCACATGTGAGCACAAAAGCAGCCTTTGCCTCATTGCCTCTCAAGGTTACCTTATGCGGAGAAAGGAAGAGAGGAATGAGAAGCATTACGATTATGGAATTGTTTTTGCTATAGAGCAAACTGCTCGTCGTACACTGGTATTTAATTTTCCTCGCTCCCCCTCATCGATTCTGGGAAACGATGTATATTTATGTCTGAGTACCAGGTGTGAGCCCAAGCCAAGGACCATCTTCAAATCATCTTAGCAACGCTCGTGGCGAAGACATCTGCGCCGAAAAAGATTACCTGCCCCAGCTTGTCGGGAGTAGCCACGAGCTCTCTGGCAAGTTTTCAGATACCAACAGAATCCCCTTGATCAATATCTCGAACCCCTCAGAGAGTGCTGACTCGAGGGAGTCTTCGAATTGGGTACCCTGTCGACACCATATGGGGAGAGCTCGCTCAAACTTCGATAATATTTCAATCCTCTTCCAGCAGGACTATCGGGACTACGATATTTTCTGTGGATATCGGTATGATCTTCGATATAGATGGATAGAATACGAGACGAAACCACCTAGGTGTGTTCGTCCTCTTACAGGTGAGAGAAAATGTGTCCACCCCCTAGAGCATAGTACTCCATTAAGCACGAGCTCGAAGGTCCCTGCAGAGGCTTCTTCGGAGGAGACAGATGGATTAGATGGACGACTCAGTTTGACTGAGGCAGGGCAGGAGCTTCTCTTCCCCCCCCCGGTATCGTACCGACGACATCGCTGCCGATCTGAGTAAACTAGAGCTATGGGAAAACTCCTGATTCGATCTTCCCAGCCCCCCTCATCGAATGAAGGTACTCGACGGTATGGATTCGCCCGAATCCAAGCACATATTTCATCCTCAAATTAGCTCTCTCGCATTTGGCACGTCTGCTCGGCTTTGATTCTGAGTATCAGTCGCTGTCCTCATCATTTTCGTCCCGGAAGAGAAGTGAAACACGCCGATTCGGCATTTGAAGCGACCCCATGGGAGGGGTCTGTAACAGGTGTCAGGTTTGGAGGAATTCCTGCAGTATCCCGATTACCGGATGCTTGCGTGGTACTTTTCCAATTCGAATCACGAGGATCACGTCGAGCCCGCGGACTAGGTGCGCTGCCTGTCATGTGCTTGCTCCTGCTTCTTATACTCCGCTCCAAGCCCAGACTCACTGGCGAGCTTCCCCCGTATGCATTAGTACTCACCGCCCGCTTGTTTCATTCAAAGCACACAACGGCTCCGTTAGCAGAGCAGGTGAGCCCGACAACGCATTCATTATTTACAGAGGCAACAATAACATTGGCAACGGCATCAGAGAGGGCATGCGCACCGTCAGCAACAAGGACTGGTGCGACAATATTTGATTGCGATGCGAAGAAAAGTATTTAATAGGTGTCTTGCCGACTCCCGGCGTGTCCCGTCCGAACCGAATTCCCCAATCCTCTAGAGGGGAGGTGACGAGTTAACGTCGCGACGCGGCCACACTCATGTTTCTGGCTCATTTTATCTACTACACCCCATCGAAAACATGCTCTCAGCGTTGTACGACCACACGTCACAACGAATTGGCACGATTTGCTCAAGACAGATGTATTCTGATTTGTGAAGCAAAGTCTCATTGAAGATATCTAGATCATCCGGATAGTCGGGACGCTTCATCAATCCGCGTTTGACGTGGTTCCAGGGCAGCAAACCGCGCAAATCATTTTCCCGAACTTCCTCATGGTCTGGATTTCGAGAAGCCCCGGAGCAGTCACAACCATACGCGCATTGTGGAAAGTCCTTCCGGACTTGAGCTTTAGAGACTTACGACGGAAGCTCGCCATAATTCGGAATGATCGCCTCCGCTCGAGCTCCTCATTTCTTGAGTCTGGTTGATTTCTGACCTCAGTAAAATTTTTGCTTCCATTCGCGACACAGGCTGAAATGTGTCTCCGAATCATCAATAGCCCTTTGATGATTCACGTAGCCCCGAGAATGAGTGGCCGGTGCGCCACGATCTTCGGAGAGGGAAAAGAAACAATTAAATCTATCGAAAAGTTTAGCTGCCGTTGGAAACCACCAGAAAACAATCTTCGGTCGCTCCGAGCGGAGAAGCTTCAACGAGAGGAAAAGCATCGACAAGAATTCCATGCGACCTTTTCGCCAATCTAACAGATTGAGGCTCCTCTCTCTGCTTCAGTTGCTTTGAGGATTCCGTCGCTTTTCGATTTCCTTCTGCTCAACTTTTCAACATGATTCATCGGAACATCGCTAGCCAGTGCCTACCGTGACGAAAGAACCGCAGTATAGTTCTCCACAGTATTCACGGAGAAATTGAGCTTCAGATTCGAAACAGAAATTCTGACTGTGTGCCGCAGAGATCCGCAATTCCTCTTATAAATATCATTTTACGAGGCCCTATTGCCGCCTTTTCTCCCCGACAAGTTATGAGTTTTTCTCGAAGAGCGATCACCTGGGTTTGTCAGAATTCTTGCTGTGTACCTTTCGCAGTCGGGATGAATGTACACAGACGGAACTCTTTTTATTTGTTTTCCAATTTCATCGCGCCGCATGAGTTTCGGATCCAGTTCCAATTCGGAACCGGAGAGCTATTTCCTCATATAT